CGGCCACAGAAAATGGGGGGCAGCCGCATGGATCATGGAGGTACGAGCGACCTTCATGACTAAGCCAATGCAGCGCTCAGCAACCCCATTCTGCTGCGGAGAGGCCGGAAGCGTGAACGTCTGGCGGATGCCGCGCTCCGCACAGAAGGCTGCCAAGAGGTCGGAGGAGAACTCACCACCTCTGTCAGAGTGCAGACGCAGGACAGGAAAGTTCGACCGCTCGCGGAGTTGGAGACGAACAGCGCGGATCCAGGGGATCAAAACAGCAGGGACATCCGCCTTGCTCCGCAAGGGGAAGACCGTGGTGTAACGCGTGTAGTCGTCGACAACCAGCAGGAAGTACCGCTCGTGGCCCTGTCCCTAGACGCGGGCTGGGCCCCACACGTCCAGGTGGAGCGTCTGCAGTGGAGCCTCTGTGGGAGGAAACGAGGAGGAGTGAGGAGCGGCGCGCTGCCGCCCCTCGACGCAAGGAATGCAGGGCGGCGCAGGCGAGGGAGGCACGTCACGTCACGTCACGTCACGCAGAGACCTGGGAAGATTTGAGACCAGGGAGCGAGACTGCATGCTACGCAGGCGAGGCAAGGAGGGGTGACCAAGGCGGTGGTGCCACAGGAGAGTGTCGTGCGACAAAGCGCGACACTCGCAGGGGGCCGCCAGCTGACCAGACGTAGACGCAGACGCAGCTACCTGAGGGGACTCAGTGGTCAGTGTGTACAGACTCGAGCCAGGTGCACGGGTGAACGTGGCCAAGTGCCGGCCCGTCCTAGCACACGTACAGTGAGTCACTCGCTGACTCGCAGGAGTGAACTGGTCAACCCCCCGATCCTGGAGGTCAGCTCCACTCACCAAGTTCGTAGAGAACGAGGGGAGGTAAAGACCTGACAGCGAGCCGGACGGGGCGGCCGGACACGGCAGAACCGTGGAGTAGTGGGCAAGGACTGGACCCCCGGAGGGGTCCGCCAGGGAGACTGGAACTGGCCGACTAAGTGGCGTGAGTGTGGTGCAGTCGCGAAAGAAGGAGCGGGAAGCTCCTGAGTCAAGGGTGAAGGTGTGCGAGACCGCAGTGGGCGCAGTACCAGAGAGAGCAGAGTCACCAGCACCTGAAGCCACGGCCTCACCAGTACCTAGAGCAGAAGACGTACTAGCACCGAGAGCAGCAGCCTCACCAGCACCTAGAGCAAGAGACGCACTAGCACCTAGAGCAGCAGCCTCACCAGCACCGAGAGCAGCAGGCTCTATACCAGGGTCAGGCGGTACGCACAGGTAACAGGCACGGTCAGCACTAGTAGGCAATGCATACATGGCAGTGAGAATAGCATCATAGTCAAGCGCAAAGATATCTACCCTCTGTCCATGCAGCTCCAGCCAGGTGGGGAGCTCAGCCTCGTCGCCAAACACTGTGCGCCAGTCGTCGCTCAGACGGGCGAAGCAGCGGGACTGTGTGTGACCAAGCGTCCCACAAGGCTGACCAGTCCTAGCACCTGTGCGAATGACGTACGGGCAGCGAACTGTACGCGTAGACCTGCTACACTGAGCGTACCACTCATGGAGCTGCTGGAGCGTAAGTGTCTCGCGTGGACGCCGCTGCAGCTGCAGCTGGCCACTGCCAGACGCTCCCAACTGACCAGCTCCAGGGCGACAGCTACGACGGCTACCGCGACAACCCCAGCTAGTATACCACTCACTAAGCTGCTGGGGCGTGAGAGGCTCGCGTGAACGTCGCTGGAGCTGCATCTGGCCACCTGCCAGTAGCAGTAGCAGCAGCAGTAGCGCGGGCAGGGCAGGCGCGGCAGGCAGGCAGGCAAGCAGGCAGGCAGGCAGGCCGACAGGCAGGCAGGCCGGCAGGCAGACAGGCAGGCAGGCAGGCAGACAGACAGGCAGGCCGGCAGGCAGGCAGGTAGGCAGGCAGGCAGGCTGGCAGGCAGGCAGGCAGGCCGGCAGGCAGGCAGGCAGGCGCGCAGGCAGGCAGGCAGGCAGGCAGGCAGGCCGGCAGGCAGCCAGGCAGGCAGGCAGGCAGGCAGGCAGCCAGGCAGGCAGGCAGGCCGGCAGGCAGGCAGGCAGGCGCTCACCAAAGGCTGGGAGAGCAGGCGCTCACCGGGCGAGCAGGGCCGGCGCTCGACGGGCGGCGACCGAGTAGGCGCACGACAGCGGCGACGTCGGGGCCGCAACACCGGCTGCAGAGCAGGGCCGAAGCAGCTGCAGGGCGGGGCCGCTTCAGCGGCAGTTGCAGGGTGGGGCCGCGTCAGCGGCAGGTCGGGGCCGTGGCAGCTGCAGGGCGGGGCCGCATCAGCGGCAGGTCGGGGCCGTGGCAGCTGCAGGGCGGGGCCGCATCAGCGGCAGGTCGGGGCCGAGGCAGAGGGCCGCGCGCGGCTCGGCGCGGGCTGCGCTGACAGCACGCTGAGCTGCTGCAGGCCGCGCGCGGCCGCGCTAGGCAGTAGCGGGCCGCGCGCGGCTCGGCGCGGGCTGCTGCGGGCCGCGCGCGGGCCGCGCGAGGCAGTAGCAGGCCGCGCGCGGCTCGGCGCGGGCTGCTGCGGGCCGCGCGCGGGCCTCGCGAGGCCGTAGCAGGCCGCGCGCGGCTCGACGCGGGCTGCGTGGGCTCGGCGCGGGCTGCGCGCGGCAGCAGCGGGCTGCGCGCGGCTCGGTGCGGGCTGCGCGCGGCTCGGTGCGGGCTGCGCGCGGCTGCAGCGGGCTGCGCGCGGCTCGGCTCGGGTTGCGTGGGCTCGGTGCGGGCTGCGCGCGGCTGCAGCGGGCTGCGCGCGGCTCGGTGCGGGCTGCGCGGGCTCGGTTCGAGAGGGCAACAGTGAGCTTAGCGGGGGAGCAAGAGAGGAAGTGGTCCCTGACTTCGCGCAGAGAGTCAGGGAGGCGGGTGACGATGTGGTAGAGAGTGATCCAGAGCGGGGGGGGGTTGCTAGTGAGAAACTCGGCAGGCATAGCAGCGCGAAAGCGGGCCTCACTAGTCTTAAGGTGGGTGATGAGGTCTGCGACAGTGTGAAAGGAGGCTAGGTCGGGGAACAGGTAGGGGAGAGTGAGGCGGCCTAGCGTAGCAGAAGCGGGTGAGGAGTAACGGGCAACTACAGCGGTGTAGAGGTCCTTAGCAGTCTTGCACTGGCCGAAGTGCTCGCGCTCGTCTAGCGGCAGGGAGTTGCGAATAGCAAAGCGAGCGTGCGCATCACGAGTCTGCCACTGAGAGCGTAGAGTGCTGTCAGCAGACGTGTCAGGGGCAGTAGCATGGCCTAGGGCGTGGTCGTACAGCGAGATGTCTTCTTTGGCAGTGAGCTGTAGGAACAGGTGCAGGTCATCTAGCCAGGTTTCGAACTTCACCGGACGGCCCTCGGCATCGAAAGCTAGAACGGGAGGACTAGCCATAGTGACAGTAGTAGGAGTAGGAACTAGGCCGCTGGAAAGGTGTGCGTAGGGTCAACGGGGCCGGCGGGGCCGCTAGGTAAGGCACGGGCGGGGTCGACTGTCCGTAGTGGCACACGAGCGGCAGTAGTAGGGAGCGTGGCAGCAGGAGCTGCAACGGCGCACTGGTGGCAGCTGCAGCGGCAGCAGTGTGCGCGGTAGGTAGAAAAAACAGTGGGAGCGAGCGCCTCGCGGGCGGCGGCTGCAGAAGCGCACGGGCGGCAGCGGCTGCGAGCGGTGCACGAGCGGCAGCGACGCACGGGCAGCAGCGGCGCATGGGCAGCGGCAGCGTAGGGGCAGCGGCGGCACACGGGCAGCGGCGGCGCACAGGCGGCAGCAGTGCACGTGCGGCGACGGCAGGAGGCGGCGGTGCGCAAGCAGCAGCGGAAGCAGCGCACGGGCGGCAGCTGCGTATGCGCACGTGCGGCAGTGGCAGCGGCGCACGGGCGGCTACGGGCAGCGGGGCGTGCGCGAGCAGGCGACGAGCGGCTGCGGGGCGTGCGCGAGCAGGCGACGGGCGGCTGCGGGGTGTGCGCGAGCAGGCGACGGGCGGCTGCTGACGTGCGGCCTCTGCGACGGCGGGCTGCGGGCCTGCGGGGCGTGCGCGAGCAGGCGACATGCGGCAGCAGCAGCGGGCGACGAGCGGGCGGCAGCTGCAGCGGGCGACGAGCGGGCGGCAGCAGCAGCGAGCGACGAGCGGGCGGCAGCAGCAGCGGGCGACGAGCGGGCGGCAGCTGCAGCGGGCGACGAGCGGGCCACGTGCGCAACTAGCGGGCCGCGCGCGAAAGAAACAGAGCCGCGCGCGCGAAAAAAAAAGGACCCGCGCGCGGGTAGCTAGCGGGTCGCGCGCGCGCGGTAGGGAAAGGCGCACGAGGGCGCGAGGCCTTAAGGGGCCGTAAGAACCGAGGCGCTCTAAGGCGCAGGTAGGTAGGTAGGTAGGTATGTAGCGGTGGGCCCTAAGAACGGTCCTAGCGAAGGACCTGCTCTGAAACCATGTCAGAATGAACAGACTGGAATGATGAACTAGAAAGGATTGTGAGTACAAATATGAAACCCTAATGTTGTGACCCCCTTATAGGCTAACCCACTACAGCCTACACAAACACAACACATATAATGTTTGACACACACATTGACAAGAGTGAAGCGAGAGGCAGATGGAACGCGATGTGACAAGAAAGACGGTGGTGGATAGCGTTGATGCATGAAGGTACTTCTCACCCACGGGGGTTGCGGGATGCCCTCACACTGCTGCGCCGCCGCGTCCGCCCATCGCGGCGCCTCCCCTCTACGCCCGCGCTGCTCCAGGGCGCGGCGGAAGGCAGAGCGCGCAGCACAGTCGTGCAGGTGGGGCGCGTTAGGCAGCGGAGCGGAGAGGTGCACCTCGGGGGGTGGGTGGGGCGAGTCCGTGGTTAGCCCATACGCGGCCGCCCACGCCTGGGGAAATGGCGGGCAGGAGGGGAGTCGACAGGGCGTGGGGAAGGACGGGGAGAAAGGGGGTTGGGGCGAATTCGGTTGGGAGGATGGGGTTAACGGGAGGCAGTACGTTCACCTCATACTCTCTTATAAGAGCATGCTCACCCTATTCGCATGGTCTCTCATGTGTTCATCTCATACGTTCTCGCACCACGCACCTCGTATATTCTCACGGAACCCTCGCCGGGCCTGTTTATCCGCACCGTTTCCCCTTCCTGCGACGCTTCCTTGCCTCCATCCAACCCCTCGCCTCCCTGCGACACCTCCTCGCCTCCCTGCGACACCTCCTGGCCGTCATGCGACAGCGCGTCTATGTGCGATGGTGCTGCCACCACTTCCCTATCCCCGGTCCTCCTCTCTCCTTCCCACCCGCTCGCGCTTCCCTGCCCGTCCTTCCCCTCGCCTCCGCTCCCTCTCGGTACGCTCGCCTCGGCGTCCCCCGTGCGTGAATCCGCTGCATCCAGCCGCGCGCGCACTAACTCCCCCCAGCGCGCCGGATCCTGTGCAAAGCCTGGTCCTCCTCCTTCCACCCCTTCCCCCTCGCTTTCCGCCCGCCTTTCGTGCGAAGCCCTCCCTTCGAGCGCCGCCGCTCCGACCGCTATGGATCGCCACAGGCTCGCATCGTCCGCCGTATCCGCCAAGCGCGCGAGTTCGGGCAGGTGGACCATGTACTGGCTGACGCCGCGCTCGTCCATCCCGAGGTCCTCCAGCCCCGCCACGCCGCGCCGAGCGCCGTCCCTCGCGTCGCCCCGCAATGCGAACGGCTTGACGATGCTGTGCGGGGCTAGTCGTCTCCACGACAGCGTGCTGATTAGCATGAAGAACACGCCTAGAAGGCTGATTCGTAACGCGTACGAGAGGTAACGCGGAAGTTTGCAGGCGCATAAAATGGCCAGGAAGCTTCTATGTCGGTCCGAGTTGCTCAACTTCGAGGCTCCCATTGCGACAACACCGCGTTGTCGGCAACACTCGCGTAGGGTTGAAGCTTTTAAGACTCTTAAAGGAGGAAGAGAAGGAAGTCCGTCCAGTCGGTGCTATCCCCTCCTTCTCTTCCTTCTTCGGAAGGAAAGAAACAGTCCAGTTGGAGCTACGGCAGCTACGTGCGATTCATTCTGAAGGCTCCAGTCACAAACGACGATATACTAGCCAGTCGTGCTCACATCGCCTCAGAATCCCTCGACTATTGCGTCCGGCCTTCCCTCAGCAAGAGATAAGCGCTCACAATCAAAGCGCATGATGCATATACCACGCGATCCTTCCCTAGAATGCGTTCAAGTTCAAACGGGCGGCGTTACCACAACTCAATCATTGAAACCTGCAGGCTTCAGAAGCACCTTCCGCTTTTTTATGCCACTGCCCCCAGCTCCGAATGCCTCAGCGAAAAGCTTTTTGGCGACAAAACTGCTGCATACAAAACAGGGTTTGTTCTTCCGTTGTACGGTATTTCCCGAACCGCGACCACAGGGATTCAGGTCGTATCCCAGCCTGGTGGCAAGAAGTTGGTGGCAAGAGAATTGCGCACGCGATTGGTCCAAAACAGATGCTCGGTCAATGCGATTGGTCAACAGTTTTTTTTCACCAATCGCGTGCGCGATTCTCTTGCCACCAACTTCTTGCCACCAGGCCGGGATACGACCTCATGCTGTTACAGCGGCGACGTCTTGTCAGATCGATGGTCTGGGCCATTCGAACAGGCGAACTTGCCTCTCGGGGGTGGAGAAGTGTCGGGCACGCGCGCGAAACCATTCAGCACGTGCTTCGTTTGAATGGCAGAATACAAGGCAGGTTTAGAATGAAAGCTCTAAAATTTTGGCTGACACAATAACAATCTGCTCAGCACAAGTTACCATTATCACCAAATTCAACAACCATTCTGCAAACCATTCATTTGCTAGATTTCTACTTCTATCTCGCAACCTTTCTACCTTCTGAGGCGCCAACCTACCACTCATCAAAGTTCAATGCGACGTAGCCTGCAAATAGCCTCCCATTGGTCAATCTCAGCTCGTTGATAAGCCAATTCCAGTTTGAACCGAGAACTCCCACAAAGTAATCACACTCTGATGACACCAGCAGGTTGGCAAAACTGGCTCCCACCACACGAGCCATGCCAGTACGGCGAAGGTAGTGTGACATGGTTTCTTTGCCGTTTTGCCGTGGCACCTGGGAATAGAAGAAGTTCCAGTTGCCAAAGCGAGACGACCTCTTCACCACACCCTGGAAAAGCAGAAGTAACATTGGGCAAAGCGGAAGGCAAAGCGACAAAGGCAAAGGTGTGTTTGGTATTGGCATGGCAAGGAGAGGCTTGATGGGTGGATCATGGGAGTGACACACCAGAGATGGCTATTCTATTGAATAAGGCTCCCGGTGGTGGCACCAATCGCAGCAGGGCTCTGTCAGGCCATTCGCCACTACACGCTCTTATGCCCTCTTCTTCCCACCTCTTTGCTTATCTTCCCACACTGCACACTCACTGGCTGAACCCCTCAACTGCATCTCACCTGCACCTCACTTGCATCCCACCTCCCCTTCACCTGCATCTCAATTGCCCCCCACCCGCATTTCTCAGTCACCTCACCTGCATCTCACCTGCGTTTCTCTTTCATCTCACCTGCATCTCACTGCCTCCGTGCATCTCACCTCCCCTCACCTGCATCTCACCTCCCCTCACCTGCATCTCACCTCCCCTCACCTGCATCTCACCTCCCCTCACCTGCATCTCGGTGCTGAGCCACACGTTGTGCAGGGCGGGGTCGAGGCGGCGCAGGCGGTTGGCGAGGAAGACGAAGGAGGGGAAGGAGAAGAGCCGCATCTCAACCGCCTTGTCACCCTGCCGCACGTGCACACTCACCATCGCCCGCGGCATGTACACCTCCTCCCCCACTCCCCCCCCACCATCGCCATCGCCAGCAGCCACAGCAGCAGCAGGTTTCGGCGAGGAGAGCAGCAGAGAGCGTGCTTGCAGTGCAGCAGCCGTGCTGCCAGGCTCTTCCACCGGCAACGCCGGCTGCGAGGCATCCGCCTGCCCCACGCCCCCTGCCCACGCGCCCACCGCCTCTGCCAGCAGGTGGCCGCGCAGGTCCTCACCCATGCTGCTGGCCAGGTGAGCCGCCACGCTGAGCACGTGGTGCTGCCGCCGCATGGCGCCTGCCATGGCGCGCGCCACGTGCATGCCGTAGGCGCGGTCGCGGTGGCGGTTGAGCACATGGCAGAGGTACGGCGAGGGCCAGCGCAGCATGAAGCGCAGCGCCTGCGCCCGCCACCACTGCTCCTGCAAGGAGGAGGAGGGGGGGGGGAGGGACGAGGAAGGGAGGGGAGGGACAAGAGAGTTGTAGGGCGACTTTCACAGTTGAAAGAGGAACGATGGATGGGGGGAAACACTTGAAACGCAGCCTGCAAATGGATGATATGCACATGGGAGGAGACGAAACAGAATACAGAGAGAAAGGCCTTGCAACTTGCCAGGTATGCAAGGTGCAGAGAGTGCAAGGTGCAGAGAGTGCAAGGTGCAGAGAGTGCAAACAAGCACGTGAGGTGAGAGTGCGTTTGAGGTACCTTGAGCAGCGTGGTGTTGGTGTGCACGAGCTGGCCGCTGACCTCGCTGGTGACCGTGCGCTCCCTGTACGCCTCCCCCCACAGCCTGGCGCCCCCGTGCAGGTGAGGGAAGGAGGAGAATTGCCGGCAAAGGGTGAGGAATGGCGAGCACATAGCAGCAGGCTGCAGTAGAAACTACAATGCAGCATGTGCTGATCATTGATGACATGAGAATGTGAGCATAGCAGCACGCTGCAGTAGAATGTGAGCATAAAATTTTGCACATGCACACACCCAGACACACACACACACACACACACACACACACACACACACATACACACACACACATACACACACACACACACACACACACACATACACACACACACACACACACACACACACATACACACACACACACACACAAACAAACAATCAGGCACAGGCAGCATGGGGGGGGAGGGTGCGTACTGAGCAGCAGCACCGCGCAGGTGCATGAGGTAGCGGCCGCCAGCCCAACGGGGCAGCAGCGGGCTGCACCCAAACACCACCACCGCCTCCGACTCCAGCGTGCGCTTCGTATCCAATCCGCACCACCGCACCGCACCGCTCTCCGCCTCCCACTCATCCTCTTCCTCTTCCCCATCCCCCCTGCTCCCCCCATCCGCCCTGCTCACAACGCCCTCTATCCCCCCGTGCACCGCTCCAGCGCTCGCAGCACGAGCCCTGGTGCGCGCAGCAACGAGGCGGCGGCGTTGCATGGCGACCCAGCGCCACCAGGGGGACCCGCGCTGCTTGAACCACCCCATGGGCATGCGCCCCACCAGCCCCCGCTTCGCCATGTACTCTCTAAAAGCGCGCATGGCGATCTTGCGGAAGTGGATGGAGGTGAGGGCGAAGAAGTAGCAGTCGAGCGACCCGCGGTCCGGCCCCTGGCACTCGCTGTGGTCTGCAAACGGAAAGCTGCCCGGCACGATGACGAGCGTGCGGTTGAAGAGCATGGCCATGCTCAGCATGGACCCTGCTTGCCCCGCCGTGCGCAGAGCCGTGAGACAGACACACGGGGCGAGAGCAGCGAAAGGAGCACCGGGGAACAAGCGGGGCAGGACACGAGTTAAAGGGGTGGGAGGAGCAGGAAAAAAGAGAAGTGGGAAATGGGTGAGCGTAGGAAGAGAGAGAATGAAGAGAGGCGAAGAGGGGAGTAAAGTGGATCGACGGGAGTGAATCACGTGAAAAGAAGGTGACAGAGGCGAGGCGAGAGGGCGCGGCGGCGCACCAATGACGTGGAGCTGCGAGCCCAGCCCGTGCCCCGTCATGTCCAGCCACCGCACCAGCAGCAGGCGACGCCCGTGGCATTCGTGCGGCGGGAACTGGTGCTCCCACAGGTCCCTCTGCGCCTCCCGCGTGCCGCCCAGATTGCCCGCCTCTGACCCGCGCACCTGGGAGGAGAGAGGGAGAAAGGGGGGGGAAGGAATGGGGGAAAAGGGGGAGGGAGAAAATCGGGTGGGTTGGGAGAGTGAGGAGGCAGGATTTGAGTATGACAGTGAGAGGAGTGGGAGGGGCGGGGACATGCAGCAGGAATACGCGCTAGTAGCAATGCACTGTCGCACTGATTGCTGCGCTGCCTCCCCTGCCATCCCGCGCCGCGCCATACGTACCCACGGGGGTTGGGGAAGCCGCGCTCGTGCCCACGCGGGCGACTCGCCCCGCGACCCGCGCCTCTCCAGCGCTAGGCGCGCGGCGGTCCGCGCGCTGCAGTCCTCTAGGTGCGGCGCGCGCGGCACCCCTGGCGGCAGCGAGATTGTTGCGGGTGGCTCGCCGAGCGATTCGGCCAGGCCGTACGCGTGCTGCCATTGCTGGCAAAGGGGTGGGGGGGTGCGGGAGAGTTCAAGGGAGGATACGGTGGGTGTGTGGGAGGCGGAACGTGTGTGGAAGGCGGAAGTTGTGTAACAGGCGGAAGGCGCAGCAGAGAGGAGAGACCGTGGGGGGCGGGTGGGGCGAGTCCGTGGCTAGCGCGGCCGCCCACGCCTGGGACAATGGGCGGGCAGGAGGGGAGTCGACAGCCTGTTGACGGGAAGAGATGGGGTTGGGGCGAATTCGGTTGGGAGGATGGGGTCAACGGGAGACACTGCCTCATGTGTTCAACTCAACGTTCTCACACCACGCACCTCATACATTCTCACACCACGCACCTCATACATTCTCACACCACGCACCTCATACATTCTCACACCACGCACCTCATACATTCTCACACCACGCACCTCATACATTCTCACACCACGCACCTCCATCGCGAAAGTGTGAGGCCCAAAAAGTTGCGGGCCAGCAGCTTCAAAGTTGCTTTTCCGCAACTTTGGTTTCGCAAGAAAAAAGTATAGGTCAAAGGCTTCTAGGGCGGGGTGACTTTCGAAGTTGCGGAAAAGTGACGACAAAGCTGCAAAAGAACGGCCATATCACAACCACACAACCCAACTAAAAGGTGACATCAGAAGTGACATTTGTCTGAAGATATTGGGCTTTAAGTCCACTTTTGCCACGTGGATGCATGAACGCCATGTATACAGATATTTTATGCCAGGTGTCAAGGTGAATAGTGGACTAGAAAATGCCAAGTGCACCAATCAAATTTCGAGACGCATATTGGCCCATGCAATAAAAAGTGTGAAGAATATTTGTACATTGAGAAATATAGACTTTTATAGATACAATTCTAGTACATCAGAACTCACAATTCGAACTAACACCATAATCAACATGATCTGGCACAACTAAATAATCTAAATGAAGGTACTAAAACAGAAGCAAACATTGCTGCCCTTTCAACCACTTGAGCCTGGAAGTCTGAAACACACGTAAAAACAAAAACAACAAAACTCAATAATGGCAGGGTAGCTCTTTCTCTCTTAGCCATGGAACCTGCAAAGAACTGATGTTATCCAGGAGGATACGAAATAGTAGTAGATGTCAAACTATATGTGCTGCATATTGTCTAGGCTGTAGTGGGATAGCCCATATGGGGTACAACCCAATTAGGGTTTACTACTTGTACTCCTGCATCCTGCTAGTTCAATCATTCCTGCTGCTAGATTCTAACATGGTTTCAGAGCACTAAGGTCCGTAGGACCGTTTTTTTTTCGGGCCCACCTACCGCTGCGGTTACCACGCTACCCCACGTACCTGCCTGCCTTGCCTTGCCTTGTGACGTGCTGCACTACGTGCGCAACTGCTTGCAGCTGAGGCGAGCATCGTCGCTGTAGGCACCTCTCGTGGCGACCCCCGCACCCCGTTCTTCGAGGGGTGTTCCCCTTCCCCCCTCCTCCCCTCTGTCGCCTCTGCTGCTGCTGTCGACCTCCTTGGTGCTGAGAAGGTCAGGACCGCGTCTGCTTCGAGCGGGCGCCGCAGGAGCAAGGGAGGCAGGGGTGGGGGTGGTGGCGGAGGAGGTGGGGGTGGAGGCGGTGGGAGTGGAGGCGCGACTGGGGAGGCTAGTGGCGGCAGTGGGGGAGGAGCGTGACTTTTTTGGCCCAGATGTGTCCTACGTGTTAAACTGTATTATGCTTGTAGGCTGTAGTGGGGTAGCCAATATGGGGTACAACCCCAACTAGGGTTTGCTACTTGTACCCAATTCTTCCATTCAATGCACTCATTCTTGCCTAGCTCTCTCAACATGGTATCAGAGCAGGAGGTCCCTAGGACCTACCGACTTTTTTTAAGGGCCCACCACCGCTCGCATGCGGTTACTGTGGGGGACGCCCGCGGCCCCCCGATCCCGTCGCCCGCGGCCCTCCGATCCCGACGCCCGCGGCCCCGCGATCCCGTCGCCCGCGGCCCCCCCCCCCCCCCCCCCCCCCCACCGATTTCCCGTCGCGCCGCCCTGGGGAGCCGCGCGCGACCCCCCGCGGCCCCGATTTCCCGTCGTGCCGCCCTGGGGAGCCGCACGCGACCCCCCGCGGCCCCGTTTTCCCGTCGTGCCGCCCTGGGGAGCCGCGCGCGACCCCCCGCGGCCCCGATTTCCCGTCGTGCCGCCCTGGGGAGCCGCACGCGACCCCCCGCGGCCCCGTTTTCCCGTCGTGCCGCCCTGGGGAGCCGCGCGCGACCCCCCGCGGCCCCGATTTCCCGTCGTGCCGCCCTGGGGAGCCGCGCGCGACCCCCCGCGGCCCCGATTTCCCGTCGCGCCGCCCTGGGGAGCCGCGCGCGGCCCCTCGCTGCCCCGTGGTGGCGTCCTGGGGGCCGAGCGCCGTCCCCCTCGCCGTCCCCCGCGCTCCTTCCCCCGTTCCGCCCGTTTTTAGGGTTTGGGGGTGAGGAGTGTGGGGGTGGCAGCTATGGGGGTGCCGTGTGTGTGCGCCGTCCCCTGCTCCTCCTCCTCCTCCGTCTCCCACTGCTGCAGCTGCCGCTGAGGGGGGTGGATGTGTGGGAGCCGAGGTTTAGGGTTTAAGGGGGGTGTCGTGGAAGTGGAGCTAGGGTGTCAGCAGGGGGTGTGTGAGAGGGGCGTGGGACGGTCGGGGGAGGTTGCGTGGAGGTAGCCGTCGTGACGCCAGCAGCGCCAGTAGTCCGGATGCCCTCGCGCGTTTCGGTAGCCCAGCGAGCCTGCTTCGCCAGTCGCCTGTGGGTCCGTTGCTCCTGTGTGTGCTCGTCGTAGCCGCGGAGCCAGATACTCCCGTAGTCCGGTGCCCTCGTGCGCTCGGTAGCCACTGTGCGCGCCGCTCCTGTTGCCCGTGTGTCTGCAGCTTCAGTCGGCGCCTTTCATCTTCTCGCCCTCACAGTTTCTCCTCCTCCTCACTTGCCCTCTATGATCACCTCTAGCTTTGCTTATAATTGTGAACTACTGCTATGCCTGCTCATTGTACTGATTACACCCCACTTTGGCTATGGGGGTGTGTCAGAATGTTATTATTGTCTAGCCTGTAGTGGGGTGCTCTATAGCGAGTACAACCCAGTTAGGGTTTGCTATATGTACCCCAACTGCTGCTAGTGAAACCTCTCTCCTTTCTTCATTCTTACTCTCAACTACTGCTAGCTTCTGTCAGATACCACGCTACCCCGTGCTCTAGCCTCGTAGCGCCCTCGTGCGCCCTCGTTAGCGCCCTCGTGCGCCCTCGTTAGCGCCCTCGTGCGCCCCTCGTTAGCGCCCTCGCGCGCCCTCACTAGCGCCCTCGAGCGCCCCTCGTTAGCGCCCTCGCGCGCCCCTCGCAGCGTCGCCCGCCCGCCGAGCCGCCCGCTCGCAGCGTCGCCCGCCCGCCCGCTGCCCGCTTGCAGCGTCGCCCGCCCGCCGCGCTGCCCGCTCGCAGCGTCGCCCGCCCGCCCGCTGCCCGCTTGCAGCGTCGCCCGCCCGCCCGCTGCCCGCTTCGCAGCCCGCCCGCCGCGCTGCCCGCTCGCAGCGTCGCCCGCCCGCCCGCTGCCCGCTTGCAGCGTCGCCCGCCCGCCCGCTGCCCGCTTCGCAGCCCGCCCGCCGCGCTGCCCGCTCGCAGCGTCGCCCGCCCGCCCGCTGCCCGCTTCGCAGCCCGCCCGCCGCGCTGCCCGCTCGCCGCGTCGCCCGCTCGCCCCGCTGCCCGCTTCGCAGCCCGCCCGCCGCGCTGCCCGCTCGCAGCGTCGCCCGCCCGCCCGCTGCCCGCTTCGCAGCCCGCCCGCCCGCTCGCTGCCCGCTTCGCGGCCCGCCCGCCCGCTGCCCGCTTCGCAGCCCGCCCGCCGCGCTGCCCGCTCGCCGCGTCGCCCGCTCGCCCCGCTGCCCGCTTCGCAGCCCGCCCGCCGCACTTCCCGCCTGCAGCGCCGCCTGCCCACCGCGCTGCCCGCTTCGTAGCCCGCCCCCCGCACTGCCCGCTCGCCGCGCTTCCCGCCGAGCTACCTACCTGCAGCGCTGCGGCAGCTTCCTTTGCTCAGTCGCACTGTCGCTATGGCTTCCATCCGCGTGCTGTCGTTCGATGCTGAGGGCCGCCCTGTGAAGTTCGCCACTTGGCTGGATGACCTGCAGCTGTTCCTCCTGAGCGATAGCAAGGAACATGTGTAGCTCTATGATTACGCGTCTGGTGCTGCACCTGCCCCTCCTGCCACAGCTGAGCTTAGTGTTCGTTCCCACTGGCAGACTCGTGACGCAGCTGCTCGCCTAGCCATTCGCAGTCACCTGCCGTTAGCTGAGCTCGAGCATTTTGGCGACTGCAAAACCGCTAAGGCCCTGTACGACGCTGTCGTTGCCCGCTATTCCTCACCTGCCACAGCCGAGCTTAGCCGCCTTATGCTGCCTTACCTGTTCCCTGAGCTGTCCACCTTTACTACAGTCGCCGATCTTATCACCCACCTTCGCACTAGTGACGCTCGCCTGCGTGCCGCCCTTCCCACCGAGTTCTGCGCTAAGAACCCCCCTCCACTGTACTGGACACTCCACTTTATAGTCACCCGTCTCCCTGACACCCTTAGCTCAGTGCGCGACCATTTCCTTGCTCGCTGTCCCACTGAGCTCACTGTCGCCCTCCTAGAGGAGAAACTGCTAGCAGCCGAGAAGAGCATTGTAGCTGTCGGTGCTGCTCGTGGCGCTCCTCGCACCCCCATCTTTGAGGGGTGTTCTCCCTCTCCCCTCGCTCCCTCCTACGCTACTGCTGCTGCCGTTGACTTCCTTGGTGCTGAGTCTGCTGGCGCTGCTTCTACTCCTGGTGGGAGGCGCCGCACCGGCAAGGGCAAGGGGGGCAAGGGTGGCGGGGGTGGCGCTGGGGGGGGAGGAGGTGGGGGAGGTGGGGGGGGAGGCGGTGCTGGAGGGAGCGGTGGCGGGAGTGCTGGTGGGAGTGGGGTCGGCAGCGGAGGCGGGGGCGGCGGAGGGAGCGGTGGCGGTGGTGGCGGCGGCGGCGGTGGCGGCGGCGGCGGCGGCGGCGGTGGCGGCGGCGGCGGTGGCGGTCGGAGCGGAGGTAGTGGTGGTGGCGGAGGTCGGAGTGGAGGCACTGGCTCGGGCCAGAGCTCCCAGCAGCAGCAGCGTCCCCAGACGACCCAGCAGCTTCGTGAGTGGCTTGCTCAGCGTGGGACGTCGGGGGGCAATGGCCGCTGTTCCTATGTCATTCGCACAGGTGACCGCAAGGGACAGACGTGTGGGAGGTTCCACACCCCGTACCGCTGCTTCTCCCGCCTTGACGACGCTTGGCGTGAGGAGATGGGCGAGGATGTTGAGCGCCCCCGCTGGGCTGAGCTCATGAGGGCTGGTGTTGATATCTTTGCTCTTGACTATGATGCTATTATTGCTGCCATGTATGCATTGACTGTTAGTGCCGAGGGAGACTGTTACTTGTGTGTGCCGCCTGACCCAGGTATAGAG